TATATATATATATAAAGGCTTCATGTAAAGTGTAACCAAAATATCATGTACATGAATGCAATGCAACTTTGTGTAAAAGCATCCAAATATAAATTGTTACTGCTCTAAAAGCTATATAGACATGTTAAAAAAATAATAAAAATGACAACATTCAATACAAAAATAAAATGAATTTAAAATATAAAAAATAATATATCACTGATACTAAAATAACTCTTGATTTTTAATGTAAACAGTCATTTTAGACAATTCAATAATACATTTACCAAAAATTAAGGGAAGAAAGACTATTTCAGATCGTTCCATGTTATCTTAATGGTGAAAGCATAGTTTCCTTATCGTCTTGATTAACATCCTTGTCTGCGCTTTATCCTATCGATTTTCAGCCACTGATCAAGAGCTGAAATGCAAACCAACAAAATTCTGTTCTTTCACAATCAGTTTATAAATTCCACAATGGCAAAGCTGCATTTCAGAGCCATTTTCCAACATGAATGCCAAGCTCATCCTCACAGGAAGTGTGGAATGACGGGGTTGTATTCACTAAATTCATCTGTCACTACATAAAGGCCATCAGACATAATGTGGCCCTTAAACCAAAACACAAATCTCATTCTTGTCCTCTCTGATTCAAACTTCCGCGCAGCCATTTCCATTCAGTTAAATGGCATTTACAGAATCCTAAATGAAATTGATTGTCCTCACGAGTTTGTAGCTACTAAATTAATTATTTTTGATGTACTTTTTTTTTTGGATTGAAATATGCCTATATGGAGGGCAAAGTATATTTTTAAACACTTCATTCAAAAATATGCATACATTTTTTGTATATTTTGAAATATATTTGAAAAAATTACAATCGAATTGTTAACACATGAAGGATTAGATTATTTAGGGTTTGAGCTTTGTTAAAATAGAAATAGTAATAGTGATGACTGCCTTGGAAAGCACCATTAATCATACAAAATAAAAGCAGATAAAATGTGATTATATATATGATCAAATATAATTTGGCTGGAGAAATGTTACTTGTATTCCATAATATCTGTTATAGCAGGTTTTATGCGCCACCTAGTGTCAAATAGACCATGGGAGATGTTTATCACATACAGTCAACTTTTTTGGGGGAAATTTAGATCAGCAAATCTGATTCTACACAAGAGGAACAAAAACAGAAAAGCAGCAATGCGATCAGCTAAACGTGAGTAACGACTGATATGTATTGATTATACAGTGCACTTTCACTCTCAATGCACTGTACGACCACCCTTCAGTTCCAGAGTGACTCATTTTACACAACCACCTTTAAAGTCTCTAGACAACAGTTCATTGAGTGGAACATGTAATGCATAATTTCCACGTGCTAAAATGTCTGCATGTCCCCCACGGCGCCCTCAAAACACCGGGGGAGGCTGCACTTTCTGGATTTCCTGTTCTGTCTTTTCATATCACTGCGTAAAACCACAGTGATTCACAATAAGTTTCCACCACTGACAGAACAACAGCTAGCTTTCATAATACTTATGTGCTTTTTACATTAACTCAAGGTCGCTCCTTCAAGTAGCCTACTGTAAGTACATCAAAGTTATTTCAATTATTTTGTGTGTGTGGCGTATGCTTCAATTTTACAATTCTGTATAAATGAATACGTTTCTTAAATTATAAATCACAAAAATCTGTTTTTGCTTTAACTGAATATTCAGTGTTCAGTACAAGTTAAACTCAATCGACAGCACTCGTTGATTACTTCACGATGTTAATTTCGTAGTGAGGCACTTACAATGGAAGTGAATTGATCAATTAATCCATAAACGATTAAATACTCACTGTTTTAGAAGTGTAGCCACAACACGTAAACGATGCGTTAACATGAATTAACAACCCCATTTTGTGTACTTGTAAAAATTCAAATATTGCACACATTTTAACGGAGTAAGTGCTTTTATAAAATTATAAGCTTCACATTTCTTATTTGATATTATTCAAAAAATGACTAAATTAGCATGAAATGCTTATTCTTGAAAAGTTAGTCATGTAATTTTTTTTTTTCTTCTAGACTGGTCATAGCTTTTTAAAATAATCACAGAAAGGCAGACTGGTCTAATTTGAATAGAAAAGTAAGACAACCCTTGGCTAACTGCTAGTTGGTCAAACTGGTTAACATAGTGGCTATGTTAATGCAACTGGACCCTCAACGTGCCACAGTTTGTTTTTGTTCTTTACCTTTCCAAGACAACGTGGGACGATTCGATTTTTATTTTATTAATTTATTTTTATTGGTGGTAGTTAATCTTAAGCAACAAATGCTGTCAATTGAATTTGTATTGAACCTGGCAGCTGGAACAGTCAACTAAACCTGTTTGCATGATAAAAACCTTGTGCAAGATTCTTCACATGTTAGGGTGATTTACATGATAAATGTCACTAATATTTTCTTTTCACAGCAGAAACTCACGGACTTTCACCTCTATCCCGATGGGGAACCGAAAAGCACAATACCAACCAAAATAATGAACAATGCATTTATTACAATTCTAGCAAGTCATCTTGGCAGTTGATGTGAGCAAATCTCTAAAATCTTTAAAAACCTATTTACCCAAGGACCACAACATCATGGAAAACATAACCAGCTTCCGAATCGATTTCCAGCACTATCTCTTCACACCCGTCTACAGTCTGGTCTTGTTTTTCGGATTGTTTGGAAATCTCGGAGCTTTGTATTACTTCATCTTTAAAATCAAACAGAAATCTCCTTCAAACATATACATCATTAACCTGGCTGTGGCCGACACGCTTTTCTTGTTCGCCTTGCCATTTCGTATCCACTACCACCTCAATGACAGCAACTGGATATTTGGCGATGCCATGTGTCGCATCACTGGCACGATCTTCTTCGCTAACATCTACATCAGCATCAGCTTCATGACCTGCATCTGCGTGGACCGTTACATCGCCACCCTCCACCCTCACACCTACCTGAAGCTTCGCAACACGAATCTCACAGCGCTGGTGAGCACCACTGTATGGTTGGTCTCTGGGTCGGCTATGTTGGCGTTCATGTTAAAATGCCCATTATCAAGCAAAGGGAACATGTGTTTTGAGGGCTTCAATCAAAAAGAGTGGAGCGGCTTGGCGCCCTACAGCATAAGCAGTCTCATTTTTGGATCCCTTCTGCCCTCTGCGGTCATCTTGGTTTGTTACCCCATCGTGGCCCGTCGCATCGCCCGGATCAACAACTCCACCGCCCGCGGGGCACGACGGATCATCTACGCCATCCTAACCATCACACTTCTGTGTTTCCTTCCTTATCATGTCGTGCATCTTGTGTACCTCTTGACACGCTTGAGAGACATCAAAGAGAATGACGTGATTTTCATCCTCCGTAGGGTGACCATGGCTCTGGTCAGTCTAAACAGCATTTTGGACCCGCTTTTGTACTACTTTGCCACGGGTCACTACAAGTGGAGGCTCAGAAGACTGAGGCTGAAGAAGAAAACGGGTGTTTATTCCATTTCCAATGGCTTTTGAACTTCTGCAAGCTTCGTTCCAACTGAACTATTTCAATTAAAAAGCATAAAAGAGAGGAAAGACAGCACATAAAATTAATCTGTAAAGCCAAAAAAACGGCGCTACAGAAATATGGACTCCAATGTGGCTTGATGAAACGGAGTCAGGATTTTTCTAATATAATTGTACTTATACAGTGCAAAATCAAACAAGAATGACTGTCATTTTTATTACATAACAGCAAACTTAATGATAGACTGATATATTGGCCAATATTTGGCTTTTTTTAAATTATCCCAATTGAGTCAGTTCTGAATTTTACTGACTGTCATTTCAGTGGTCCATGCCATTTTTTTTCATAAATGTAAACTTTGTGTCTCATTTCATATCATTGAATTATTACATATATTAGTAGATGTAAATGTCAGTATCATCACAGCATTTTGTTTCAAATTCTGAATACTGACCAATTTTTGAACTTTGTTTAACTTTTATCTACAGCTAAGAAATAAATACATTTTCACAAATGACAGCCTTCTCGGTCAATTTTACTAAAAAAATTGTATTGTTATTTTTCTTAACCAACGACAAACATCAAATGTCATCAAGTGTCACCAGTCACGAAGGCAGACCTTTCTTCAACAACGTAGACAAGAAACTGCCCAATTCTTCATCCTGAGGGACACAATGAAAAACAGGTTAAAATACTCAAAACCTAAAATGTAATATATACACACTTAAAAAAAAATAAATAAATAAATAATTTTTTTTAAGTCTCTTATGATCATCAGGGTTGCATTAATTTCAGCAAAAATTCAGTAAAACCAGTCATACTGCAAGATATTATTACACTTTAAAATAACAGATGTCTATTTTAATATATTTTATATTATTCATTAATAAAATGTCATTTATTTCTCTGATGCAAAGCTGAATTTTCAGCAGCCATCACTACAGTCGTCAGTGTCACTTGAGCTTCAGAAATCATACTAATATGCTGATTTGCTGCTCAAGAAAAAGTTATTATTTTTTTCAGGATTCTTTGAAGATTAGAACGTTCAAAGGAACAGCATTTATTTGAAATAAACATCTTTTGTAACATTATAAATGTTTTTACTGTTTTTGATCAATCCAGTGCATCGCTGCTGAATCAAATTAAGCTAATTTAAAAAAGGGGTCTAAATACGTACAAGCTCTGAAACCACTGAGCGTGTCTTAGTGCGGTCAGAGGCATTTCTATAAGATGCAATATTGGACAAAAGTAATGTAAACCACGCGAGAAGTTAACACCACAGATTCACTTTCTCTCACACATTTGTTGCTGTTTCAATTGCAATCCATTTGTGCCAGCCTGCAATATACTGAAGAATGTGATTTTATGTATGTTTGTTTTGCCAGGCGGTTGGCGATACCGGTGTTTGTTTGGAAACATAAGTGCAAAAATTTTCCCTTGTGGGCTGTGAGCTGCTGTAAATTCCACTAGACCACGAGCCAAAAACAAAAAAACAAGTGCAGTTTTCCACATAAACAAACCCAAAATAGAAATTAAAGAATTTAAGCTGTTTGAAAACAGTTGACACAATATAATCCACATTAAATTATGAAGGTAGATCAGTGGAGATTTAGTTAATCACATTTGTTCACCTGATAGCTCCAGGAGAGCAGAATGACTTTGAGGTCGGGCTCCTCGGCCGAGGACGTCACTTTAATAACGATGGATTCCACGATGACGGTGCCGTCTGGGACGTGCTGGATGCTGTAACTTTTCAATACACTGTAAGAGAGAACGAAAAACAGACTTGACCTCTCATGAGACCTTTATGAAAGTATGAACCACATATGGTTCATGCACATATATGAAACTCATACCTCATATTTGCCCATACGGACTGGCATTTACACTGTGGCTGGAGGGGTAAAAGTGTCGTTCACTGAGGGGCGAACATTTGGGTGAAATGACTCACTTGTATGTGAAGTACCAAAAATGACTAAAGATGACAGCCATGAAACATTTAGAAGCCAAATGGCTTTTTAGCTGACAAATTACTAAAGAGTTTATTGAGCGGATCGCTTTTTTAACTAAAATATTAGAATTTATTTAAACTTGTTACATACGATGGCGTGTTAGCGCCACGTTGAAAAAAATAAGATTACGAGATTAAAGTCGTAATATTTTGAGAATAAAGTCGAAATTACGAGAATAAAGTCAAAATATTACGAGAATAATGTCGAAATTTTACAAGAATAAAGTCGAAATTACAAGAATAAAGTTGAAATATTTCGAGAATAAAGTTAAAATGATGAGAATAAAGTCGAAATGTTTCGAGAATAAAGTTGAAATTCCGAGAATTAAATCGCAGCGATTAAGGTTATAATATTTTGAGACTATAGCTTACAGTATATTGCTCATGCAAATGGCCCGGATTGGGAGCACCGGGAGAAGTTGTCATTATTTCTACTTTATTCTCAAAATATTTCGACTTTATTCTGGTCATTTTGATTTTATTCTCAAAATATTTTGACTTTATTCTCGTATTGCTATGACTTTATTCTCATAATTTCGATTTTCTCTAAATATTAAGACTTTAACCTCGTAATCTTAGATTTTTTTTTTAACATGGCACTAAAACTCGTCGTAGTTATACCAAAGCTTCGTCATGAATATTTAATTACACTTTGTCATATGAACAACCAGCCAGTAAATAGACTGAATCAAGTCTCCAAAAACCTAAAATGGTAGCAAGTTTGATTTGAATCTAATTTTATAAATGACTCATGTTCAGTGAGGGAATCCAGTCGTTGTGAAACCAGTAACAGCTCTGAATGATTTACTGACTAAGTGATTTGGATTCAAACTACAAGTCTGACACTGCTTTGTGAATCTCTTCGACTGACTTATTAAAAAAAGGTTTATAAGAGTCATTTGTTCATCAATCAGACATGTTCATAGTTTGCTTCAGTCTCTGACAACATAAAATCTGATGGATGTACGCATGCAAAGTAGCGTTTTTTTGCTTTGACTTTGATAGGACAGTTGAGAAACGACAGGAAGCGAAGTGGGAAAGAGAGTGGGGACGGGATCGGGAAAGGTCCACGAGCCAGGACTCAATCTCAGGATGCCCGTTGCGCAGCGGTTCTATATGTCGGCGCGCTGCCCACAAGGCTATCAGCAGTGACTCAACTAACTTAAAAAAAATTAAAAAAAAAATTAAAAAAAAAATAAAAAAATTTAACCCCCAACTTAAATAAAGCTGTACTTTGCTGTGGTATTTTTTGAGCCCCGTTTCCATTAGTCTCCTTTCATTTTCACGTCACACAAATGACTGATCAACAATGTTCTCCGAAGTAAAAACTGCTGAAGATATCTCACCTAACCCCTAAGTGTTAAATCAGGGTATAACACATCCCACGCCACTGCGGACTTGGAAAAACATGACCTTCAAGCTTGAATTAATCTGAAGGTTAGAAAATTTCTCGTTATGTAATATACATACCAGTGTTGTTTTTTGTATTATTTATATCATCTATATAAATAATACAAAAAACAATAATACAAACTGTTTTTATAAATATTTAGAATGAGCTTTAATTTATTTATTTTTTAGTTTAATCTTTAGTAACTGTGTTTTGCTTTTGTCATTTTTATTCTTTTTTTTTTATAATTATTACTATTTAGGTTTAATTTATTCTTATTTCAGTTGCAGTTTTAGATCAAGTTTTCATTTTATTTATTTCTAGTAAGTAATCTGGTGTTTCAACCTTAATTATTTTAACATTTCTTGAATTTTTGATTAATTTAATTTTTCTAATACTTATATCTGTTCTAATATTTATATTTAATTTTATTTCTGCTTTATTTCAATTAACAAAATGTTTTTAATAGTTTTAGTTAGCCCTGTTACATGCAGGTGAGAAGGGCATGATTAACTGCGTTCATTTTTGCAATAGAAAAGTGTGTGTGCGGTATAGTTCGCTGACCTCTTGAGGTGTGTGTAGATGAGTGTGAGTGTGTCGGTGTCGCTGTGAGGGTCGTGGAGCTGCACACGGCAGGTGAAGCGCAGCTGATGTTCACCGAGACCCAGTTCTTTAAGAGCCTGTTCTGGAGAAACCAGCCGCAGACTCTACACAGACACACATATTCAGAAAACAACGTCTGAAACCTTATATTAGTCAACTAAATGATGAAATCAGACTTAAAGAGCCATGTTGACTTACATTATCCTTCATTATTAATGTACCATGCATGGTGCGATGTCTTTTGGCATCAGGCAATGGACCTGTGAGATAGTTTCATAAGAAATCCTGTTAAAATTTATTTGTATGTTAATGTTAATATATATATTTTGCAGTTAGTGAATGTGTCATACCAAATGAAAGTAAGCACAAGAATCATTCAGTTTAATTTGTGCATGTTGTAAAATCAATAATGCATGCTTATATTATATATGGGATCCAGAAACTCAAACTAAAAGAGGAAAAACAGAAACTACAAGACCCACATAACCACGTGACAAAAAGTCATGATGGCATTTCTGTAAACAGGTCAAATAAAGGAGTCAGTGGGAGTCAATAAACACCTCCGAGAGCCATCTCTCTCTTCAGCAGGTTGAGCGAGATGTCCACTGGGACGCTGGGGTTCTTCACTACGCTCGTCGTCTCTCCATTGGCTGGCATATAGCAGCTGATACCTGCATGGGGCAAAACATCAGCACAAAGAGAATATGTAACAAACACTGAAAAGTACACTATTTAAACTGATCATATTCCACAATTTTGTGTTGTATTTGTACCCCCTAAAGTTCCCAAGAAGAAATCACAGAACTGGAAATTAGCAAGGATGCTGTACAGTCCAAAGTTCAAATGTATTTTGAGAAACAGCAGACTTACTGAACTCCTGCTCGATCTTGTGTTTGAGGCCTCTCTGTGCACCAGCAGCATGTTCCTGGGTTCTGCCATGCGGATCAACTGCATGATGCCTTTGGCGTCAGCATGAGCACTGAAGGACATGTACTCCACCTGTAGCTTCACATCCAACTAAACACACACACACCGCATACAATACCAGTCAAAAGTTTGGAAAAATTATGATTTTTTTAATGTCTCACCCAAGGCTGCATTTATTTGATCAAACATACAGTAAAATCAGTAATATCATTACAATTTAAAATAACTGTTTTCTACTTGAATATATTTTAAAATAGAATTATTCCTGTTATTACTCCCAAAGCATCCATTACTCCAGTCTTCAGCGTCTCATGATCCTTTAGAAATGTTCCTAATATGCTGATTTGCTGCTCAATTATTTTCAATTATTATTAACATATATTACAATAGAAAACAGGTCTTTCAACTGGCAATAATTCACAATATTAATGTTTTCATTGTAGTTTTAATTAAAAAAGCAGCCTTGAGAAAAAGATAAGAGAAAAAATGTTTTCCAAAAAATAAAGT